ACAGTTATTAATCTGTGAAATTGTCACTTTTCTGTGTTAAACGATTAAGCATGTTTCCAAGGGGAGAAGCTCCTTATTCTTAAGGAGACTTAAGAAAGCAAGACAATGGCTGAATAGTCACCTTTGCAACTTGATTGGCTCTGTGCCTGCATCTTCAGTAAAATATTTGTCCATTTGAAACGTGTATGTGCAACTTTGCATTTAGAACCTGACTTAAGTGCCAGTCATTAAATACATATAGAGGTTGTGCTCATGATCCAAGGGAATGAAAAGGAGGAAGTGGGCTTAGGAAAAAGACAGGGCCTTGTCATGAGCCTCCCTGTGGGAGGCAGGGGGCAGGAAGCATTGCAGGTAACAAAAAGGAAGGGACAAATAGTGAGTAAACTGAGAGCCCTTGTGGTTTGGTGCAAAGAATGATAGATGGAGAAAAGAAGATGAGAGGGGACAGATGAGGGAAGAAATGGAGAACCCTAAAGGCAGGAACTGTGAGTGCTGTCAATATAACAGAGTAGCTGGAGGAGGAATTTTATAAAATTTCACAAAAAAACAGATGCCACTATGGTGTCTCATCATGAAGACACAAAACTAATTCAGGAAGGATGAACTTGGAGCTAGAAGTCCTCAAAATGCAACGCAGAGAAAATGTATTATTAAGCCCAATGATGCAAAGATAAGCGTATTTTCAAGAGCCTGGCAAAATAAGAGGAAATTCGCTAGCTTTTTGTTTCCTGGTTGGAAATAGGGGCCCCTTCCTTAAGCAGCATGTGATCCTATGAGAAAATGCAATAAACAACCATATATGTTGGCAAGATAAATGTTCCAAAGAGCTTACACAAACATTTTGAAGTTTTTCTTTCCTGTTTTGGTCGATTTTCTGCCTACAGTATTAAATGGCCTTCTGTAGATTAGAGATGGGGGTTGACTTTAAGGCTTTTTTACATTAACTCAGCCCCATCCACTCTGCAGAAGGTACTAAAACATTGAAATTGTAGGGCCCTGGTTTGATCTGTTAAAAAGACCTGGTTCGGTTTCGTGTTTTCCTCATGTTGTGGCCAGTGTGAGGGCTGGGGATAATTGAGATAAACAAGGGAGGCTGTGATGGTCTTCTTCCATGCTGACTAATGGAGGAGAAGGAGAGAAGGTTTCAGCAGTTTCCTTCATTGGCACCTATATTGTTGCCGATGGTTTCTCTATTATTTCTTTAGCTATTAGACATAAGGTGATCTACAGTAGCCTGCCCAACCTTCTGACACCTAGAGAAATGTGTTGGAACTACTGGAATTCCTAGTCTGCCAAGTTGGCTGGAATTCTGGCAATTGTAGCCCCATCACATCTCTCTGTAGGACATCAAGTTGGGAAAGAAAATCAGGAGGAGTCTGATAGCATCTTTTCCGAGTAACACATTGTATTAAAAGGCATAAGCTCGCTTCATCAAATGCAAAAGTGTTATCAGATTCCTTCTGACTTTTTGCTCCAGTGGATCTCAGAGCATTGAACTGTCTTGAGGGACTTCTGGAAAGTCAAAAGGGATGAAGCCAGCCTCACTTTGGGGGGAAGGATGTTCCTTAAAGCAGGGGCCACAGCAGAAAAGACCCACCGCCTAGGACCCGCCAAAGGAAGCTCCCTAGTCAATGGGACCCACATCATGCCCTCTCTGCTGGATCTGGTGGAACAGGGAAATATAATTGGACAGAGGCGGTCCCTCAAATAATCCAGTCTCATGCCATGTAGGACTTTAAAGGTCAAAACCAGCACCTTAGCTTGGACCCGGAGGCAAACTGGCAACCAATGTAGCTCATGGTATGCTTAGGAAGTGAAGGGGGCCAGCTGGGGGGATGAGCCCCACCATTACTGATGGGGAGTCCATGCGTTACAAAAGCGTAACTCTTGTTTGACAGTATTTGCCTAAAACCATTCCCCATAGGGGGTTACAGTCTTGAAAGACTTCCGAGAGTCTTCCCAAGCCTGGAAAAATTATATTTGGCTGGTGTTGAAAATTCCCGTATTCCTGTGCATCATTTTCTTGGGTTTTCATTTTAAAAAGAAAAAAGGAAGCAATGTTGGTAAAGAAGGAAAGAGAAAAACAACAATAAACACAAGGGGAAAGTATTGCACAAGTATGTTTAATTGTGGATCGAATTCTGCTGCTTTTTTCTTTTTGCATTTTTATTGAACTAAATATTTAGGAAAAAAGTTTAAAAGGAACTAAAAAAACAAAAGGAAATGAAAACAAAAGGAATAGGAACTTAAGATAAACTTACGTATGTGATTTAAAGGAGAAATGCAAACCTTTTGAATCTCCATATTCACCATTTCTATCCAGAACAACATTTATTCGGAGAAAGATAATCTAGTAAGAAATGTTAATAGGCTTATGTAGCACAATCATATTCAAACCATTTTGAATTTTAAATAGTCCACTTCACTTTAAAGTGTCCTATTTTGAGGTTGTAATAGGCATCTTGAATATTTTAGAAGCATTTTAAGCTCAAAACAGTATTTCACATTTGAAGCAAAATTGTTTGGAGCTTGAAACAGTTCCCAAATACTTAAAACAGCCTGTGTTCCACTTGTAATAGCTGTTTTAGACTTGTAATAGAGCATTTTGAACTCAAAAGGGTGTGTTTTGAATTTGAAACATTTTGCACACTTTTAATTGTTAATGGTGATCAAATCTGAAAATTAGTCCTTCGTTGGAAGGAAGGAAATACGAAAAATAAACAGCAGCAGGATTCATTGTAAAAGCTTCTTCAGTGATATTTCCAATTTCATTATACACTTTCAGTTTAAAAGGATTGACTAATTGAGCCTTGGGTTCAAAGATGGTGATAAGAACCAACTACCAACACCATCTATGTTTAAAGATTGCTATATAGACACATTTTAATGGGGCAGAGTACCGTATAAAAAAATTGACTTTATGATCAGGTCTTGATAACATAGATTTAGAAGGA